CTTCATTTTGTCTGCCTACTAATAATACATATGTATGAATTTACATTATGTTGGAAGGATAAACAATTTCTGCTACTATTCCATCCTCCTCATAATGACATCATAGATTTTACTGCTACAGTGTGCACTGTGCTGGGAGAACTTCCTCCTGGTCACAGAGAGCAGGAGGGAGAGGAAGCTCAGCTCTGCACAGAGGCATCCAGAGCCACAGAAAAAAATGGCCAATCATATTGTGTAAGATTCTAGATATAAGCTTCCTGTATATTGTACATTATATTTACATACAACTGAAAAGATCTATTGTTTAAAAAGTCAATTTGCTTGTTTTGCTTCTGGTATCAAGGTTGCATGGCATTTTTTTTGTTTGAATGTCTATTTCAAAATAATAATATTGATAATCTGGCAAATTCGCTATATTTTAGTGTGAGCTATTAATTGTTTACTCTTTAACAGTTCCTTAGCACAAAGAGATAGTTACACCAGGTTATGGATATAATGTAAATTTATGAATTAGGGTTAATTCATCTATTTAAGATGTTTTATAAGTCGATCATTCACTACCTTGAAGTTGCTGCCCCTGTAGTGTGTAGCAAGCATTTTAGGGATTTTTTGTTTTTCCAAGTGCTAATCTTTAAATAATTCTTTATCTCAGTTTTTAATGTGATATACTTTCCAGACATACATTTTTTTTAAGTGTGTTAAAGTTAAGTTCTCAAATGTATTTGACTGTGATGCTTGTGAACAATGTTTTAAAGAAAGATGCAGACCAAGTTCAAATTGTATGTTTTTTTCCACCCCTTCCCCCAACCCCCACCACAGTGAGCTTGAACCCAGCTTGGAAAGTTTTGGTGGCACAGAGACCTCCTTCTGGTCTCATCTCAGGACCCCTTCTTTTTTCTGTCCTTTCCCAAATCATCATCTGCATTGCGTTCCAGACTCTTGCTTTCCTGTTGGTGAAGAAGCAGCCATGGTACGAAGTCTGGACACCCAACTCAGAGTAAGTTACACCTTGATTCCAATCCACATGTAAGTTACACCTTGATTCCAATCCACATGGTTAAGCTATCAAAATGCAATTTTGCCTGCGATACAATGTCCGCTACACAAATTTCCAAGTTTCCAATAAATATGTCATCTAGAGAGGACTGCCTCTTGTTAAATGTAATAGTCTCAGTATAATGAGAAAATAATTCATATAGGGAGCACACAGCTTACAGTAAGGTTAATATCTCACTAAAATAAAAAGACCAGGTAGCCCAGTTAAAGGGACACCCCAAGCACCATAACAAATTCAGTTTATTGTAATGGTTATGTGGCAAGGGTTTTAGTAATGCAGTCAAACCATTTTCAAGCACCAAAAAGCATCACTCCTGCTAATGTAAAAGGCCCATTTCTTGTGATCTGTCTCTAATATTTCTTGATAAACTCTGAGCACTGTCATACAGCAGGATTTGACTTTGCTGAATCACCCATGACCCTTTTTGTTCCAAGTATTTTGCTCTGTGTCCTTGTGTAAATTATGTTTTCTTTCTGCAGGTGTATAAAGAATTGCATTTGGGCTTTGGATGTTGGGGAATCATCTGATACTATATGTCAAATCTCTTAAAAAGACACTATAGACACCAGAACAACTTCAGTTTAATTTAGTTGTTCTGGTGTCTTCTGTCTGTCTCTGGAGACTTTTTAAAGTAAGCACTGTCTTTTTAGAGAAAATACAGTGTTTACATTATTGCCTAGGAATACCTCTAGCTGCAGCCACTCAGACGTCCACTAGGGGTGCTTACTGGGTCAGTGCTGCACAATGGAGCAGTGACATTCAGCATCTCCAAGCACTGCATGGAGACGCTGAGTGTTCCTAATAGCACTGGTTCAACGCATCTCTTTGAGGAGATGCTGATTGGTGCAGCGTAGTTTTTTGCCGTACATGCGTGATAGCCTGCAGGAAAGCATTGGATTGGCTGAGATGATAAAGTTTAATGATCGCAGCCAAAGAGGCAGAGCCAGCCGCGAGGAGACTGGGGCGGCACTGGGAAAAAGGTATGTAAAATCACCTTTTACATTGCAGAGTTTCCAGAACCTAAACAGCACTATTAAAACTATAGTGTCAGGAATACACGTTTGTCACTGATACTGTAGTGCTTTTTTAAAACATTCTGACAAAGACCATAAGAACAGCACCCATAGCTTGCTTAAACAATAATCTGAACAATAAACTGTATTGGTTAAGGGGAATGGAATTGCCCTTTAAAGTTCTTGAAAAGCCTCTCAAGGTTCATCCATTTGTCAATCAATGTTTGATTGCTGCGCAGTCTGACTAAATCATGCTATATGCCAGAGGCAGATTTGTAGTGTACTCCAGATTTCAAGTGAGAAATGTCCTTTCTCTTCTACCCCTCCCCAGTTATGTTCTGTATTTAAAATGTTTACGGATTACTGTGGTTTTCCTCCATATTCTTGTTTTTTTGGAAGCAGCATCTGTGGAGCTGTTTTTTTTTTCTTCTTTGAATGAATAATTTTCTACATAACTCTTCAGACTGGATTTAGTAGCAACTAGCAGCAGAGAACATTTTTATTAATAGTATTATTGCAGAGTTTATTGACCATAATAGTTACCATACAACATGTGTCATCAGTGCCATCACTAGGGCGGTGCGAGAGGGGGCCGTGCCCCGCCCCCCCAATTGAAATTGAAATAAGTCGTGAGCAATGAGTCTCCCTTCACAAGCTGCAGAAGCACCACGTGCGGCTAGAGGGGGCACTGTGCTGGGAGAACTTCCTCCTGGTCACAGAGAGCAGGAGGGAGAGGAAGCTCAGCTCTGCACAGAGGCATCCAGGCAGCTGCTGGTAAGTGTGAGTCAGTTTGTGTGGTTCAGTCTGTGTGTGGGTGTGGGGTGGGGGTTCAGTCTGTGTGTGGGTGTGGGGTGGGGGTCCAGTCTGTGTGGAGGGGGTCCAGTCTGTGTGGAGGGGGGATCAGTCTGTGTGGAGGGGGATCAGTCTGTGTGTGTGGGGTGGGTCAGTCTGTTTGTGGGGGGCTTAGTCTGTCTGTGTGTGTGTGGGGGGCTTAGTCTGTCTGTGTGTGTGTGGGGGGGCTCTGTCTGTCTGTGTGTGTGGGGGCTCTGTCTGTGTGGGGCTCTGTCTGTGTGGGGGCTCTGTCTGTGTGGGGCTCTGTCTGTGTGGGGACTCTGTGTGTGTGGGGGCTCAGTCTGTGTGTGTGTGTGTTTGGGGGGCTCCAGTCTGTGTGTGTGTGTGTGTGGGGGGGCTTAGTCTGTCTGTGTGTGTGTGTGTGGGGGCTCTGTCTGTCTGTGTGTGTGGGGCTCTCTGTGTGTGTGGGGCTCTGTCTGTGTGTGTGGGGTCTCTGTCTGTGTGTGTGGGGGCTCTGTCTGTGTGTGGGGGCTCTGTCTGTGTGTGTGGGGACTCTGTCTGTGTGTGTGGGGGCTCTGTCTGTGTGTGTGTGGGGAGTCTGTGTGTGTGTGTGGGGGGCTCAGTCTGTGTGTGTGTGTGTGGGGGCTCCAGTCTGTGTGTGTGTGTGTGTGTGGGGCTCCAGTCTGTGTGTGTGTGTGGGGCTCTGTGTGTGTGTGGGGGCGGTCTGTGGGGGCTCTGTCTGTCGTGTGGGGGCTCTGTCTGTGCGTGTGTGTATGGGCCAGTCAGTATTTGTATGTATGGATCAGTGTGTGTGTGTGTTCGTGCGTGCTCCAAGAGAGATACCTCTCATCTCATGACCTTCTCTGTACCCGATAGATAGGCAGCCTTCTCAACCACTACGGATCTAATTGTCTTTTTTATTTTATTTATTTTTTTAAACAATCATTAAAGTAAAAATTGTAAAGCTCTTCCCTATCCCACTCTCTACACCCCCATGAGCCCAGTACACCCTCACAGACCATGAACCCCCCACCTACAGTACACTCCTACTAACATAAAGTAAACCTTTGCATACACACACAGTGCACCCCTCAAACACATCTCTCCACCCACATACACACTTATTCCCCACATACCTTCACACATACATGAATGCTTTACCTCATTACTCACAGAATCTCCTATATATATATATATATATATATATATATATATATATATACACATACACACATACATCTATATATACACATTCACTCACACTGCAACCCCTAGATGCACACACACACAATTTACAGACCCTTTCAGCACACACACAATCTCACAAGCTCCTATACATGAGCACATGGTCACACTACAGCTCCTAGTTACATATAGTACACCATAAACAGACTCTTCTATACACACACTTCACCACAGCCCCTTCTAAACACCATGGAAAATTATCTTGCATCTCCTGAAAAGGTTTTACAGTTTCTGTGAAAAGGTGTCTTGCCTGTAATAAGGAAGACACAGCGGTGGAACTACAGGCAATTAAGGCCACCTGATGGGCATGTGCCTTCAGGAGCCCAAAACTGTTTTTGCACCAGGGCCCACTCTGTTAGTTCTGCCACTGTGCAGCAACTTCCCCAGCACACAACCTCTGCCCCTGCATGGAAGATCGCCTCACCGTACACAAGCTCCGCCTCCAATCTCTGACGTACACACATTCTGACAGACTTACAGTGACTGACAGACACACACACACTCTATTTCTCTCACAGTCACAAATTGCTATTTTAATTTAAATACACCCAGACTCCCTACCTTTGGAAGAACTGAGTTGATCTTTCCCTGGTGTCCAGTGTGTCTCCTCTCAATCCTTCTGCAGTTTCTCTTTGCTCCCCTGCAGTGATGCCGGGGCTGGAGTGACGTCATGTCACTAAACAGCGCGCAAGGAAGCAGAGCGGAATTGCAGGTAGGTTACTGCTCCCTCGTGCGCTGCCTCCTTGCTCCCTGCAGTAGCCTACTTTAATGTTTTCTGTGCATCTTAGCAAAGGGCTGACAAATGACAGGCGCCAGGGCAAAATGCCTAGTCGCCACGGAGACCTGGTGCCTGGGTTTTGTCGAGCCCTGTGTATGCAAGTGTGTGTGTGTGTGTGTGTGTGTATGTGTGTATGTGTGTGTGTGTGTATATATATATATATATATATATATATATATATACACACACACACTAATACAGGCCGCTGCGGGAAGCATAGAGGCGGCGCGCGAGGGAGCAGTAACCTTCCTGCAGTTTTATAACGGACCCTCCTACTTTTGTCCCTGGCCCTTTATGTGCCCCTCCCCCTTAAGTATGAATCCTGGAGACACCACTGCAATAGATTTGCGTTGTGTAAGTTGATAAATGAGGAATTTGGTTGGACCAAATACAACTAATTCATCATGTATATGTATGCCTGCCCACCCAATACTGCCATTTGTCTGAAAAATTATTGAGCATGCTCATCAGTTGCTATTATTTACATGCACAAGTGGATGTCCCCTACTTCCCCCCAAGTAAATGGGAAGCAGTTTGTGGCTGTGTGATTTGGGGGAAGATTGCATGTTGCTCAGTGGTCATTACATTTATGCTAAAAGAAACTAGCACTATATAAAGTGGCTCAATCTCCTTACTAATACCAGGCACTTGTCTTGTCAGTCTTGTAGAGCTGGTTTGTACTTCTACAATGTGCTATGGCCATATCTTGTGAAATATTATAAACCTTTATTATTAGTTTGAGATAATACGTTTTTGAAAAAAAAATTGAATTAAAGCATACTGAAAAAAATATATGTATGTCGTTGACAAATACTAATATTATTACTATTATTATTACATTTGACATGTCTCTCTCTGTCTCTTTTCACCCCTAGTGTCTGTAATATGTCCTCTGAAGGTCATAATGACAATACCACTGAACATGATCAGCACAACATCCAGAATTTTGAAAATACCACATTATTCTTTGTGTCCTGCTTCCAATACCTCATAGTAGCTATTGTATTCTCTAAAGGAAAGCCATTCCGACAACCATGCTACAAGAATTGTAAGTTCCTAATTTACTTTTCTCACTTCAACATTACGAGTTCAGAGAACTGGCAGGCTGGCAGTGTTTGACTATAATTCATGTCTTACTTTTTAGGGAGTCTCCCCGTTGAGCATACCAGTTAGCTATAGATGTCTGCTTTTGATGGCATTAACATTGGTTTACCTTGCTCAGTCTCCATGAGCAATTTACAGTCCTAAGCCTAGAAAATTACAAAATGTTTATAAAAGGAGTGTATGATATATCCTTCAGGCTAATCTAACAACTAGCCATGGCCATGTTTTGTTGGTCATTTCTTTATAGACTGAATGAATAAATATTTTTACTGTAACCACTCTATTTCTCTTTTAGATCTGTTTGTTATCTCTGTGTTGGCTCTGTATGCCTTAATATTGTTCTTTATGCTGTACCCCATTGAGTCCGTTGAGAACTTCTTTGAGGTGAGTTCATGGTCTCCTTGGTTTTAGAGCTTTCTACCATGTGAAACCTTTTGTCCTTTCCACGGGACAATTATGATCTGTTAATTGTTAAAATCATAACTCTTTCCTGTTGCTCATAGTGTGTTTTCATTACATTTTGCAAATTGTGTAATCTAAAGCTCTTGACCTGTACCATCTTTTTCCACTACACACTCTGTATGATAAACATTTTAGTGCTACCCCGGGCATGTACCCTATCAATTGAAGTACCTGCTAATATTATGGAAACAAACCAGAGTTACAATTTCACAAAACTGAGAAATGTATTTTTGACTATTATATTAAACCTTTCAGCAGCTGTAACACTGCAAATCTACACATTCTGTGCTTAAGAATTACAAAGAGCAAAAAAAAAACAAAGCGCAAGAGTGTACTGAGAATGGACAGCAGCTGAAATAGCTTGCCCTTCGGTGGGTCCCCGCTCAGATCTCAAGCTGGTTTTAGCTCATCTTGTGCCATTACAGAGAGAACATATCTGAAGCATATCAAACTGGTCCCACCCGTATGGGCAGTCTAGATCCAAAATGCCAGCAAGTTCCCTCTGCATGAGAGACACAGCAACCCCAGACGATCGTTTCAGCCTTGTTAGGCCTCATCAATGAGGCATACTGAGCAAGGGGTCCACGTCTGGATTACCCTTTAAACTTATGGAGAGCACAAAACAAAGCGCAAGAGTCTGATATGCTTCAGATAGGATCTCTCTGTAATGGCACAAGTGAGCAAAAACTATTTTGAGACCTAAGCGGGGATGTACCGAGGGCAAGCTATTGAGTTTACTCTAACCTTTTGTCCGATTTCTCATTCATTTTTTTTTTTCTTTAAGAATTACAAAACCTTACTACAGATTTTTGTCAGCTTAGTCTGTCATTACTAAGTGAGTTATTAGTAACTGAGATGTCTTCATTAATCTGCCTTTTATAGTCACTCCTGTTTGGTATGATATTTTTCAGTTATACAATTTTGCAATATTCACTGATCATAAGGGAATTTATATAATGTTTTGGAAAACCTGCCCCATACACAGAAGCTTTAAATGTATTGTGTAAAAGAGAATGAAATGGCTACAAAGTCGCATTTGGAACCTACAAGGCAGTGTGAGTTAGGTGCGAGTCAGTGCACTTGAAAAAATAAATAAATGCCAACTTGCTTTATGAAATGTAGTGATGCATGTTTTCAAAGACCAAATTTCTGTGAAAACATGGCAGTCTGTTAGTCAGTTACCTAAACACAGGTTCCCAATATCCCAACACAAGTACATTGACAAGCTGATACACATATTAGACAAAATGATACCAATAGATATTAATGCGTTCAATCAAACATCATCTTTACCTTGTGTTAAAAAGGAATCTGTACACTGATTAGGTTCAGGTGACATATGACTCTCCTGATTCTTCAGGACAAAATTATTTGTGTTCTCTAAACAACCGGATGTGATGCTCTTTATTACTTTATTTTAGTTGGTCTGTGTTCCCTATTCATGGCGTATTGCAGTGCTCATCATCATCGCTATCAATGCTGGCGTCTCTATTTTGGTTGAGGTAAGTGTGTGAACATAATTTTTTGTGTGTCTGTGTAATTGCCATCAAAGGCTGACTGGGTAACCTAGTAAAATTCTCTATGTTTAGTTTTGAAGCCACTATAGGTTTTACAGTTCTAATAGACACTGGTTGAGCCTTATATCTTAGTTGGATATTTTTCTTAAAAATATGTTTCTTCATATGTCTAATTCTACTTTCACACTCATTATAAGGTAAACTAGCAAAATTATTCAAAGCTGCACAATTCTTGGCTTAAAATATAAGGATTTCAGATTCTGCTCGATTAAAATTTATGAAAAAGTAAACAAACCCTGTAGATGTGATACTTCAGGAGCGTGGTCGAAAATGGCATTGGGTTCACTGCTGAAAATGCATGCTGTTGATTGCAAAGCAAGGCTTTTGAAACGTGCATCTAGTTGTTTACGTATATCATTGCCTTTATACACTTAAGCACAATTATTTTTAAATTCACATTCCCCTTGCAATCATGCACTGCTGCTTTTTGTTTTATGTTTTTGTTTTTGTTTTTGAAAGCATGTGGGCATTTGGCATGGTTATTTGTCCTCTACAAAGAGATCCATTAATAGGATATCATATGATATCTCCCAGTGACGTTTAAGATAACCCTTTGTCTGCTGTGGCTGCAAACTGCTCGTCATAGCTTTTTTTGTTGAGTGAAAACCTCTTCCTCCTATGTAAATGAACTGTGATCCTTATAATACCTAAACCAGTGATGCTGACCTCACACCCCTCATGTAAGGGAAATATAGGCTGAGCAATCATTGGAAATATTGTTCATAAACATCTGCTTGTCATTGTTGGCCCTAAACGTAAAAGCATCTTCTGTTTAGTATTGTGGTAAATTGAGTGATGCTATAAATCAGTCACTAGATTTCCTGCATCTTCAAATTTAAATACCAGAAAATGAGGTATGATTTTAGAATTTATTTTTTTTTCTTTATTTTTGTGCATTTTGCCTCATTCTGGCAGTGAGAATGTGATGAAACCTTTCTCAGTTCACGTCCTGTCTGAATTACAGAATCAGGCACACCAAAATAAGTTCTGTTTTCTCAATCTATTCCCCAATGTTTCCAATGTACATAAAAAGAGCACAATAAATTTACTCCTGAAATTCAAACAAATCTTGTTCTTTTGGGATGTTGCATAACTGGCTAAGGCATCATTTCTTTAAAGATACCTTCAGCTAAACCGCAGCCTACCCAACATATTAATTTAACATCAATGTACACATTTCTTTACATGAAAGATCAAGTTTGATGGAAGTCAATAAATAAATGTCCATATTTTACTGTTTTTCAAGCAAATTACTTTCTAATGCTAAATGGAGATTTTAAAGATTTGCATTTTTTAAACTGGTGTCCAGATTATTTCAGTTCCTTTTTACCAAAGGGTCAGTGACAGTGATTACGTGATTACGTAGTAGTAAGCAAAATCAGGAATATCATCTATTTAAAATGTTATCTAGACTAAACCTGTATTCTAATATTTTAAGGAGATTTTTTTGAACATTATTAATGTATTAAGAGTATTAGGCCAATATGTATCTAGGTAAAACTGGTCTAGTGTCCACAGAAACCAGTTGAATGTTTCTGTTAATTACTCCACCATGTTTACTTAATAAACTGTGGGTTTTTGAGAACTGAAAATATAATTGCAAAATTTACACTACAAGTAGGCCTTGAAATTTGCAATTCCCTTTTCAATTTTCCACAATTTAGAACCCTCAGTATTGGGATTTTCCTCCAAAATAATACTATTGGTACATTAATAGATGTGAGTCTTGTACTGTAGTGTCTATTGCACTCTATTGTGCATAAATACTCCATCCTCTTCACATATAAGGTTATTGCGTTTGTAAATAACATTTCCTTCTATTATTGGATTGATGTGACAGAAATCAAGTTGCAGCGAGGAACATTTAAAATCTCCATTTAAGCATGTTTTATCGAAAAAGAAAAAGGAATATTTAAAATGCACTATTGATTTTTAATAAGAGCACCCTGATTGTGTTCTATGAGGTTTTTTTTAACTTTTTTTTTTACCTGTCTTGAAAATTCAAAGTAATCTGCATGTTTCTAATGATCAACTGGTCCTTTCAATTTTACCCACCCACAAT